TGCTTACAGCAAATGGCCAAATTCTTCTGATTGGAATTTATGCTCCCAATCAACAACAGGACCATTTCTATAAGATGTTACATACTAAAATACTGCAATGGGACTACAGATCTATTTTAATTATGGGAGACTGGAATGGAGTAATTGATTCTATATTAGATAAAAAGAGTTTGGCAAAGTCTAGGATCAGATTACCACAGACCTTTTTTGACATGAAAGAAGATATGGAACTAAAAGATGTTTGGAGAATACATAATCCAAAAGAATTGGACTATACTTTTTTTTCTGACAGACACAGATCCTTCTCTAGGATTGACTTCATTTTGTTGTCAGATGATTTACTTGTCAAGACAAAAAGAACAAAGATTTTTCCAAGAACTTTGACTGACCATAGCCCAGTATGGATAGAAATTGAGATGGATAAGGTTGAGAGACGTTCTTGGAGATTAAATGAGAACTTGTTTAGATATGAAAAAAACACAACAGAACTTAAAAAGCATTTGAAAGAATTTTTTGAAATAAATTTGAATAAAGGTACCCCAATTGAAATTGTGTGGGACGCAAGTAAAGCTTATATGAGAGGGGTACTTATCTACATGAACTCTAAACATAGACTGTTTCGACAAAAGAAAAGATCTGAATTGGAAATAGAAATAAAGAATAAAGAACAGTTACTTATTAAAAATCCAACAGATGAAAGAATATGCAGTGCTATAAAACTTTTGAAAGACCAATTTCAAATGCTTATGGCGGAACAAGTTGCAACAAACTTACAATATGCGAAGCATAATACATTTTGTAACGCTAATAAACCGGGCAGATGGTTGGCTTACACATTGAGGAAAAAACAAAGTATACGGACTATTGATAGTATTGATATTGGAGGGAAAGAAATTTTTCAACAAAAATTAATTAAAGAAGCTTTTGTGGACTATTATACCAAACTATATGCCAAAGAGGAGATGCAGAATGGACTTATAGAAAAATATTTAAATGATAAAAGAGTTACAAAAATTACTGATCAACAAAAGGAAAGAATGAATTATCCTATAACAGAGGAGGAGATAATAGTAGCAATTAAACAGTTAAAAACAGCCAAAGCTCCTGGCACGGATGGTTTGACCACAGTGTATTACAAAACTTTGCAAGCTGAAATGGTGGAACAACTCAGAGATTTATTTTGCAATATTCAACAAGGGGGTAAAATACCCCCATCATGGACAACAGCTTACATATCTTTGATACCAAAAGAACAAGTCGGTCCTAAAAAACCAGAGAACTATAGACCAATATCTCTTTTGAATACAGATTATAAAATCTATGCGAAAGTATTAGCCAACAGGTTGATCCCAGTAATCCAAAAGGTGATTCATGATGATCAAGCGGGATTTATCGAGGGCAGACACATGAAGGATAATGTAAGGCAAGTAATAGATTTATTGGAATATCTTGAGAAGAATAAACAGATTCCTGCAGTGCTGGTCTTTTTGGATGCAGAGAAGGCCTTTGATAGAGTGGATTGGAATTTTCTACTAAAGACTTTAAAAAAGATGGATTTTGGGGATCAATTTATACAGGCGATTTCAGCAATTTACCAAGAGCAAAAGGCACAGATCATTATTAATGGAAGTTTGACAACAGAGTTTAAAATTGAAAAAGGAACAAGACAGGGATGTCCGTTGTCCCCACTTTTATTTATTCTAACACTAGAAGTCTTGCTAAATACAATACGGGACTCTAATATCTTGAAAGGTATAATGATTAGGCAAGAGGATTACAGAATAAAGGCATTTGCAGATGATCTGGTTGTTACCCTATCACAACCAATGGAATCAATAATCCTGATGAAGGACATTATACAAGACTATGGTAAAGTTTCAGATTTTAGACTGAATCCAAAAAAGACTAAAATGATAGCTAAAAACATGACACAAGATCGTAAACATGAGCTTGAAAGGAGGGCAGGTTTTGAGACTGTACCTAAGGTAAAATATCTAGGAGTTCAGGTTGCAGAATCAAACATGAAATTGTTTCAAAATAACTATGAGGTGTTGTGGCGAGAGGTGCAGAAAGACATGGAGACTTGGAAAAAACTGCAGCTGTCTCTACTTGGAAGAATAGCGGCAGTTAAGATGAACATTTTGCCAAGATTTCTTTTTTTGTTTCAAATGATTCTGGTGCTTAAAAGTGATAAACAATTGAAAGTCTGGCAAACTGGACTCAATAAGTTTGTCTGGAACGAGAAAAAGCCGAGAGTGAAATTGAAAATTATGCAAGATGTTCCAGAAAGAGGAGGTCTTAAACTTCCAAACCTACAGTTATATTATGATGCAGCAGCTTTAACTTTAACAAGTGATTGGTTTGGAAGTACAAAGGCTGGAATATTGAATGCAGAAAGTTTTGATCTTGAATTTGGATGGCATGCTTACTTATTTTATGATGACAAAGTTGATAAAGTATTTAAAAGTCATATACTTAGAGACTCTTTGATGAGAGTTTGGAAGAAGCACCGACTCAAATGGGATTATAAAATACCGCTATGGCTGGATCTTGGTCATACTTTGTGGAATACAAATATAATGTCACTCGGGGGGTTTTTATACAAAGAGGTTCTTTTTACAGATGCGGGCAGATGGCAGCTGAAGACATTGCAGACACTGTTGGACGAAGGGATTAATTTAACTTGGTTACAATATAATCAATTACAATTGAGATGGAAAGAGGACCAAAAAACTGGTATTATGTTGCACGAGGAAGAATTGGTTAGACATATAAAAGAGAAAGGTCCAATGCATATCAAAAGGCTTTATAATGTTTTGCTAGAAAGGGACTCAGAAACTGAATTAGTTAAAGATTGTATGATTAAGTGGGCACAAAATTTTGAAGAATCAGTGATGTTGGAAACATGGGAAAAAATTTGGGTTCAGAATGTTAAATTTACACAGTCGCAGAACCTGAGGGAAAGTTTTTATAAAATGTTTTATAGATGGCATTTAGATCCCAAAAAGTTGTCATGTATGTACCCTAATGTTCAGCCAAAATGTTGGAGATGTGAATGTTTGGATGCTACGTATTATCATGTTTGGTGGACCTGTAGGAAAGTTAAGGCTTTTTGGATAAAAATTTGGTGGGTCATGCAGAATGTTTTGAAGAAAAAAATTCAATTCTCTCCACAATTGTTTTTATTGGGTATAGTTAAGGGTTTTACATCGGGTGAAACAAAATTGATATTGTATATGATAACAGCAGCAAGATTGTTGATATTGGAAAAATGAAGCTTTGCCCACTATTGAAGAATGGACTTTGAAGATGGCCAGTTTTGCAGAGATGGCGAAGATTTCAGCATACTTAAAAGATTGTTCACAAGAGACTTATGAATGGGAATGGAAAAGGTGGATAGAATATGTTCAGAACAAATATCAAACTAGAAAGTATCAAATAGCTTTTATTTGAAAATAATGTATTAGAAATATTTTAATGTAATGAGGTAAAAAGAAAAATTATACAAGGGAGGGAGGGGTTCAAGTTTACACATAAGTGTCATATTAAGGGTTTTTTTTGTGTGTGTGTGTGTTTTTTTACCAGTTATGAGTATATTATAGGGAAGTCTGGGGGGAGGGGAGGGTTAGGGAGGTTGGGAAGTTTGGGGGGGTGGGGGGGAAAAGGGGTGAAAATGTAATTGTAAAACTTTTGCAATAAAAAAAAAAAAGAAATCTCATGATTTAAATCTTAAGTCTTGGTGGTCCGTGGCCATGGTCAGTGACCACAAAAGGTATTTAAAGGTCCGTGATGAAGACAAGGTTAGAGAACCACTGCTTTACAATTGTAACTGAGTCTATTGGAGTTATTAACTAGAGCAACCCAACATCTAAATCAGGGGTGTCCAACCTTGGCAACCTTAAGACTTGTGGGCTTCAACTCCCAGAATTCCTCAGTCAGCCAGCTGGGGAATTCTGGGAGGTGAAGTCCACAAGTCTTAGAGTTACCAAGGTTGGACACCCTGCTCTAAATGGTCAGTGTAAAGGGTTGGTTTATTGGAAAAGTTGCTCCATACAAAGGAGCTAGCACTGTGTATTAAATTGTGGTGAATGACTCCATCTCTGCAGGGATATGGTGAATGAATCCATCTCTGCCCCACCCATCCACCAGGTCAACAGATGACTAAACCACACGACAGGCATTGTTTGCTGAGGTGATTCATTATTCCAGCTGTCCAGGGCTTGGCTGCCTTTGACAAAAACCAACACACTAAAACTTCATAATGCAAAGACTCCCTGGCAGATAAGACAGGATGGGTGCTTATGACCTGGCAATTCCCATCATGTTGCTAAGTTATCATTTTACAAGAAGAATGGGCTGGAGTGTGAAAAAATCAGCAATTAACCTCCTGTGTTCTCCAGCTCTAGCTTAAACGGGGAAAAGATTAATCTGGAAAAATGCAGCCTCCTTGTCCTCATTCAGTAGAGAATACGTTGGGAAAAATAGCTAGTCCTACATTATAGGTTGGTGATTAAGGGAAGTATATTGCTGAACAACTAATTACTTGCAACCTTAGAAAGTAGACTTAGGAATGAAGGATGCTGAACTTTAGTTTATCCCCTAAAAGGCACAGGTTCCATATTGCAATAGGAAGTTAGGAATGTGTATGTTATTGGGACATTTTTGTGACAATGTTGGACACAAACCTTTTTGGAAGAATGCATAACTTGCCTTTGTAAGCTCGTCTTAATGCTCAATAAAAACAAAAAGAGGACATAGACATGAACTTAAATATGTATGTGGTTTCCAACCTCATTATCTCAAACATGATACCCTTTTCCAAAACCAGAGAGAGTACGGAATCTCAATTTTCTATTTAATTCAGCAGTGACCAATTGGACCTGGTGATTTCTCCTTCAATTAGACACAATTAGATAATGCAATGTATACACCCAATCCTGTGAAATAATGGACAGTGGGGTGGTGCGCTTTCATTCTGGAGTATTTAAATACCCATTTAATTCAATTTATCTGTTGCATTTTAGGATGGTGAAGTTAAATGGAGGCAAAGCTTCAAAACAGCATGGACTCATCTTACATCCATGCAATTCAAGCCCTTGAGTTTTCCATCCCTAAGAAAACAAGATGTCTCTGATACCAGTGCATGAAACAGCTTAACAAAATTGTACACAGTTCTTAACAAAAAGTTCAGCATTTGTTGATCCATGAGTTCTGTTTCAGTGACCCAGCTGTGATCTCTGCAGCATCTGCAATCCCAGGAAAATAAATTGCTTCAAAGTTGTCTAGTTTATGCCTGATCCCATATTGTAACTTCTCTGCCAGTTTGTCAGTTTACAGAAAAACACTCCTATTTTTTGCAAAATAGCTCTTACTCAAAGATGCACTTTGGTTCTGTGGGTGACAATGAAATCTCTTCAGATATGGTCTTCTACTTTTCTGAGGTCCTTTTTGGAAAGGCCTTGCATAACACCAAAACTGGAATGACACTCACAGGTTCTCCTATGCTCCACAGTTGTTCCCTGTGCTTCTTTCTTTCTTTTGCTGATCAAGGAGATCTTTAACCAACCTACCCTACCTTGAGTGCTAAAGAGTCAGATTTACTGGTAGTCATGGGGTGGCTGTCACTGTGATTGTAACATTAACTGGATCCTCAGAAGGAAGACTGGGGGCTGGCACTTCTTCCTGGGCCCCTGTTGGATCCTCTGAAGACACCACAGCTTCCTTCTGAATTGCCTCTGCAGAAAACAAAGCATAAATGACAAGCGCCTATGAATTGATGGAAGAGAAGCAATAACTAAGTAGAAATCCTGAAGCCCAGCTGTTTCCATTCTTTGTTTCAACGGTTTCCAGATTCATGTTTAACATCAACAGATGATCAAGGCCCACCAATAACAATGGAGAATAAGGAGGTTTGTTTGCTAATCAATGTGTTTCGAGGGCACATTGTCTTCTAGAACAGGGGTCTCCAACCTTGTCAACTTTAAGACTTGTGGACTTCAACTCCCAGAATTCCTTAGCCAACGTTGCTGGCTGAGGAATTCTGGGAGTTGAAGTCCACAAGTCTTAAAGTTGACAAGGTTGGAGACCTCTGTTCTAGAACAAAAGGCCATAACAGAGGGATGAATGACTAGACAAAAGGGAAGCCCGATACCTCCACCAAGGGACAAACTGACATCTGAAAACAAACAAGGCACTCATGAATCTCTGCCATGTGTAAAATCTCTCTTTGATTACAGGAACAGGGAAACCATTTCTACGCATTTTGAGGAGCTGAGTATTGCTCCCTTCCCAAAATAAAATAAACCGACTATTTAAACAATGGCTTGGTTTCCAGCAGTGCAAATTTGAACATTCTTTCACTAATTGAGTTCTAAATATTTCCTTTTAATCTGTTCTTAATGTATTTATTATGTGTTTTTATTTGGCTGTACACCGCCCTGAGCCCCTAGGGAGAAGGGCGGTATATACATTTGAAGTAAATAAAGTAAATAAATAAATAGCCTCTTCCCCCTCCTTTTTTTTTTTTAATATATGGATTTACTACTTTTCCTGGGAAATGAATAGCTGAGTATTGAAACTGAGTCTATAGACCTGAGGTGAAATCCAGCAGGTTCCAACAGGTTCTGGAGAACCGGTAGCAGAAATTTTGAGTAGTTCAGAGAACCGGTAGTGGAAATTTTAAGTAGTTCAGAGAACCGGCAAATGCCATCTCTGGCTGGCCCAGGGGTGAAATGCTCCCGGTTCAGACCGGATCACCTGATCTGGTAGTGATGGCGGCCGGTGGTTCAGAAAATCGGTAGCAAAAATCCCTGCGCCACCCCACCCCCATGCCCAGCTGAGCCGCACGATCATCAGAGGCTTTTTTTTTTTACTTTTAAAAGCATTTTTTCATCGCAAGAGGTTGTAGAAAAAATGCTTTTAAAAGTAAAAAAAAAAAGCCTCTGATGATCGTGCAGCTCAGCTGGGATAGTCAGATGCTTTTTTCTATAACCTCTTGGCCGAAGAGGTGGGGAAAAAAATTGCTTTGAAAAGTCTCTGACGATCCCAGCTGAGTTGCCTGATCGGCAGAGAGGCTTTTCAAAGAATTAGAAAAAATGCTTTGAAAAGTTTTTTTTTTTTAAAAAAGTTGGCCATGCCCACCCAGTCACATTAACCCACACACCAAGCTACGCCCACAGAACTGGTAGTAACAGATTTTACATTTCACCTCTGGGCTGGCCCCAAAGTGGGGTGGAAATAGAGATTTTGCAATATCCTTCCTCCAGGAGTGGAGAGGGAATGGAGATTTTGCAGTATCCTTCCCCTGCCATGCCCACCAAGCCATGCCCACCAAGCCACACCATGCCCACTAAGCCACGCCCACAGAACTGGTATTAAAAAAAATTGGATTTCACCAATGCTATAGACATAAAAGTTTTGGGGCCAGTCTACACCCCACCTAACTTTGACGCGTGAAGATGAAATATATCTTGAAAGACACACCTGTGTGACATAGCCTCCTAGGAAAGCAAGAGTTGGTGTTACCTAAAAAGCCATACTTACTTATAGAATTTGGATTTCCTTCTCTAATACCAAGAGAATGTTGAGGACCACCTGTATTTCAAGGTCTGCTCTTGGACTGATCCATTCAAATAAGGTAACCTCCAGAGATTTATCACCAGTTTACCTGCTGGTGTTGTTGTGGAAGTCTCTCCAACCTGCTCACTTGCTTCTTCAACTTGCTCATTGGCTGCATCACTAATTCCTGTTGGCATCTCAGCATCTTCTGGGGTCCCGATTTGTTCACGAGTTTCAGCTCCAGCCCTAAAAAGAAGAGATGTGTTGACCCATTATCAGCCTTATGAGGCAGACCAGACTGGAAACATAACCAGATGAGCTAATTCTACTTTATTGTAAGGCAACATTAACAGAACCTTGCAATTCTGAAAGTACAAACTTCCGCCATCACTTTTTCCTGCCTGATAAGTTAGGGTGGATCCTTTCTAAGTTTCTTTTTGTGCCTGTTACTCAATTATGGATTCCTCCCCCTTTTACCTGATCATTCCTTAAGCAGCATCCTCTCCCCCACCTTCCCAGGTATTGGCACATTCCATTACACCTATGGCAATTTGCTAGTCCCTACTACCTGTTGCTATAGCCACGCCCTTGAAAGCTGGAAAAGGTGACCAGTCCAGCTACTGTCAGAACTACATGGAAGGAAGCTTTTCTCATAAAGGTTTGAATATCAAGATTTTCCCCCAAGTGTGAGACAGAGTGGTCAATAAACCTATCTGCAATGAATGGGATTTAGTGATTGTGGGCTGGTCTTGATTGTGTCATGCTTTCTTGTGCTGTTCATTCTGTCTGAATGTATTGGTTTTTAATCCTACATGAACCACCCAGAGTTACAATTTGTGAATTGGGCAGCAATATCAATGGATTAAATAAATAAATGGTAAAGCACATGTATACATGTCTGAATTATCTAAATCTCTCTTTTAATATCGATGCCAGCTTAATATCCAATCTATCCATTGTGAAATAAAAGCACCTGAGGATAAGATGAGAAGCAATGGGTGGAAACTAATCAAAGAGAGAAGCAACTTAGAACTAAGGAGAAATTTCCTGACAGTTTGAACAATTAACCAGTGGGACAACTTGCCTCCAGAAGTTGTGAATGCTACAACACTGGAAATTTTTAAGAAGATGTTGGATAACCATTTGTCTGAAGTGATGTAAGGTTTCCTGCCTAAGCAGGCGGTTGGACTAGAAGACCTCCAAGGTCCCTTCCAACTCTGTTACTCTGTTCTGTTCTATTCTATTCTATTCTATTCTATTCTATTCTATTCTATTCTATTCTATCTATGAAGTTCTGGAAAATATAAACTACACACTTTGAGGCAGCTCAGAAGATTCTACTTGTTAGAGATGGCTAGAAAATATTAACCAGTTTTTCCCAAACAGGCCTTCTTTAGATGTGCTGTACTGCAGCTACTGTGTTATCTGGAGATCACTGGCATTCTAGCCAAATATAGATACTGGATGTCTATCAATGAGAGGGAATAAGAGAAAGAATTCAAGGGGAGAAAAAAAATAAAAGATGAAAAGGAAAAAAAATGAGGTGTCACTTACATTCTGAAGAGCAGGTCATGTAACCCTATGTGATAAGAGAAAGAAATCCCATTTTAGAAACTATTCTGCAAGAACAGCTAAACTGTAAACTATTCAAGGGTACATTAACAAGGACTTTAGAGAGACTCTCCCCATGGCAATGCCATGCCCTATTTGTAGGGAGAATTTGCAGCTATATTCCACAACCATCATTTCAGAACATCGTATTTCCATCCTGCTAGGGCTTTTAAGGGTAAGTGTAATTTCTGCTTAATGGTGGCTCTCTACTGTGGTGCAACAGCTTATTGAACTATACACTTTCCATTATTTTAGTGATCTCGTCAATATTCACACAAGAACCGTGTCGGCCCAGTGGTTAGAATGCAGTATTGCAGGCTAACTCTGCCCACAGCAAGGAGTTCGATTCTGACCGGCTTAAGGTTGACTCAGCCTTCTATCCTTCCGAGGTAAGTAAAATGAGGACCCAGATTGCTGGGGGCGATGCGCTGACTCTGTAAACCCCTTAGAGAGGGATGTAAAAGCACTGTGAAGCGGTATATAAATCTAAGTGCTATTGCTATCTATTGCTGCTTTATCATATGGTCTTTAGTGCACAAAACTTGCTAACATGAAGAGAAACAGAAACATAGCCATCTCAGACTCTTTGGCCTGCTGGCAGAACTAAAGTAAGGAGACAACCACTGAAATGACTTCCCAGAAAGGTGAGTCGACAATTTCTGACTTTTTGTCTTTGGGGGAAAAAAAGTTAAGGAAGGATTTCCATAGATCCCATAACCGAGCTGCTGATTGCCCCCACAGGAACTACCACTCACTTGGGTTATTCTCCCGATTCCGTACGATGTACTGAAAAACTAGAAGAGAGATGACTGTTGCCACAACCATTCCTGCCAGAGCAGCCCCGATCACCACAGGATATGCATTGAAAGGAGGGTCAGCTACAAGAGAGAAGAAACAGTAGATGAAGGCAATGGAGTTCTACCAGTCTTTGGAGTTCTTCAAGGCTTTGGAGAATGATGTGCCAGATGTGCTTTCTGTTATTTTAGCCTCTCCTTCTCTTGCCCAGTGATTTCCAGATGGGTTGATGTTCAGCTCATCAAATCCACCATCTGGTTAGAAGTTTATAGGCACTGAGGCAACATCTGCTTTATTATTTTAAGAGGAAGGTTCGGGAAGCAATAGTTTGAGCTCCATGAGCTTGTTGTTTATAAAATGTCTGCCAAGGTGGATTAGTTGGAGGATATTTATTTATTAGAAGGCAAAGGATGACCCACTACTGAGTCAACCATGTCTTCTAATACTTCAGCATCTTCAATTTTCAGATATACACACTTCTGAATGAAGCTCCAGGGGTTGCCAACAGCTACCATTCTTATGTTCTAAGAAACTTATAGGAATCGGCCTCAGCCTCAGAGGCTGCTTTGGAAATGAATATCTACTTTTCAGCATGCCAGCACCACATCTTTCCCTTAATTTTTTTTAAAAATTAAAATTATACAGTTCATTTAGGATAGGGTTCTTTGCAGGCACCAAGAAACTCTCCATGTGGGATTATACTTTCTGCAATAGCTTCCTGGTGTGTTTGCCAAATTTTAGCATGTTTTTATGCTACTTCCTTTCCTTCACCTTCAAGCATAAAGAAATGTCATCCCTCCTGGGAATATCTGTAGTTAAACGACTGTATAGGATAATCATTACTTTGGGTTTGCCGTTTCCTTGAGGTATAGCTTGAAATGGCCCTACTGTTGGTCTGCTTTAGAAACTATCTTTGCTAGGTGTGAAAGTTGTGATTGTCTGAACCAATTGTCTGAATAGGTTGGCAAACTATTATCAAGGTACCTGATCAGTAAAACATCTCTCCCCCACTCCCAACCCCCCATTCCTGGGCAAGGAGATTAAAGCTTTTAAGAGAGGAAGCAGTTTGGGGCAATGTCAAAGGGAGCGGGGGTTAAGCAAGGGTCTCTGTCCTGATTAAATTGTTCCCCTCTTCTGCCTGCAGCTAATTTTAAAGATGGTTATTTCCTTAAAATATCAGGAGATCCAATTACGGATCTCTCGTGTTAACAAGTCGTTCTGGCCCTCGGCAACTCTGCATCTTGGGACGATTCTTTCTCTGCCAAAGGAAACCCTCAATGAGGCTTTACACAAACTCTTTTCTGGCCTTTCAGGTCTCCGAGCAATCTTCCACCCCACATCTGTTTCCAATCGTCTCCGTTTTTCCAAGAGAAGACTTTGCTTGTTTTTCTTGAGCCTTTCATTTTGCTTTGCACCTTCCAAAGGCTCTGCCCAAACCTCACTCAGCCTTGCTTGTTGCAACAGCTGCTGCCCTTATGAGGAGAAAGGATGAGGTGGCCATCTTTGTTTGAATAGAGCAGCGTTTGCTCAAGATCACCAAACGAACTGAGGTCAGAAAATCAGGTAATTTTGCTCTTGTGCTGTCTGACCAAATCCTGCTTCTGCAGGACAGATCTTGGCCATGGAAGGAAATGCCACATCAAGAATAGGCAATATTGCTGACATTCCTGATCTCTTCCAACCAGGTCATAATGACATGGGTGCCACCTGCTAATTGTCTACATACAGTGATCTCGACTATGTGTCTGAATGGTCATCTATTTGGCAACTTCAAATTTCGATCAATAAATGCTCTGTCTTACATATTAGTAAACATAATCAGAATGTAAAGTACAAACTAGGTGGCATTGAACTAGCTGATGATTCTCACTTTGTCAAGGACTTGGTGTACTTATCTCTGACAATCTATACTCCAAAGTTCACTGTAACAGCGTTGCTAAAAAAGCATTAAGAATTGTAAATTTAATTTTGCGCAGTTTTTTTTTCCTGGAAACATTGTATTGCTAATTAGAGCTTACAAAACTTATGCTAGATCAATCTTAGAGTATTGTTCAACTGTTTGGAATCCCCTCCATATATCTGACATCAGTACAATTGAGTGGGTTCAGAAGTATTTCACGAGAAAAGTTTTGCGCTCTTCTGTACACAATAGAATTCCCTATGCTACTAGGCTCGAAATTCCCAGTTTGGATAACTTAGAACTGGGTCACTTGCGGTCAGACCTAGGTATTACATACAAAATTATAGGTAGTAATGTTTTACTTGTAAATGACTTTTTTTGTTTTAATTGTAATAATATGTGTGTTAACAACTGCTTTAAGCTCAATGTAAATTGTTCTAAACTTGTCTGTAAAAAATCTGATTTCTGTAATAGAGTTGTAAAAGCCTGGAATGCTCTACCTGATTCAGTTGTTTCAGCTGCAAATTTTCACAGTTTCAGTCACAAATTGACTTCCGTGGACCTTACATGATACTTAAGTGGTCAGTAAAGGGGCTGTGCATGTGCACTAATGTGCCTATAGTCCCTGTTATTTATTTTTATTCTCTTATTCTTATTCTTGTTCTCGTTTTTGTTTGACAAATTCAAACAAACAAACAAACAAACAAATAAATCTGTTCAGGCCGACTGGAGTTTCTACACAATTAGAAATTGAATTTTGTACTTTTTTTTCCTCTAAGAAATGGGTACCCTTCATAAATCAGGGTTTCTATGTGCTTATTAATTCACAGTAAGATAAAAAGACGTAATCTTTAATACCCATCTGACCAAGAGGCCAGGTCTTTTCTGCGGCATGAGGAACTTTCATTTCTTTATATCTGGCCAATCATACATAGCAAGAGCACAAATCGGTCAATGCGGGCAGAGATTTTTCACCACAACTAGGAGAGCAAGCCTGGAGATTGTTTTGTAAGGAGCCATGTAGCACGTTCCAAGAAGGTGAAGTACATTTCCCCAAAAAAGAAGAATAATGCAGAGAAGGAAAGGTGAACTTCATCATGCTGTTAAGAAGTGATGTCACACAGAGAGGAAAATCCTGTCAAAGTCCATCTCTTCACACCTCCCAACCTGATCACAATCTTGAGACTGGTGTACAACCACCCACACGACTGAGGTCTGCAGATCTCATGCAACAGAGCAAGGTGAATAGAGGAGTAGCTGAGGCATACCAAATGCAGAGGTAGAGGAGCACACTAGAAGGCAAAGAGAGACTCAAAACAGAGGCTCTGGGAGAAGCAATGGCAGACATGGTTCTTTCTGGTCATTCTAGCACCACCACTATCACCATCGCCATCTTGTACTAGTAATTGTTATAGTTGTTTCAAATTGAAGAGCACTTTGGACTGAATATGGAATATTTGCCTTTGATCAGGTCAGCCATATTTTCCTAATTAGCTCAGAATTATCTATTCAGGAAGGGGGTTTCCAAGAACTGAGGCAGCCCAGGAGAAGGAGACAAGGACTCACTAATTATTTTGTTTATTTATTCCCCACCTATTATTTTTAAAAATAATTCAAGGAGACAAACAATACAACACTCCTTCATCCTGCTGTTTTCCGCACAATAACAAACCTGTGAAGTTTGTTGGGCTGAAAGAGTGAATGGCCCAAAATTACCCAGCTGGCTTTCATGGCTAAAGCGGGACTAGAACTCAGCGTCTCCTGGTGATTGGCCCAAAGTCACCAACTAGCTTTCATGGCTAAGATGGGACTAGAACTCACTGTCTCCTGGTGATTGGCCCAAAGTCACCTAGCTGACTTTCATTTATTATAATATAATAATAAAGGTTTATTATAATTAGCCCTAATCATGCACCTTGTCATAATTTATCATAAGTAGCCCTAATTATCCAACTTATTATCATAATTTATTATAATTAGCCATAACTATATCATACTACCTCACAAGGTCTCATAGAAAAAGAGGTGGGCATATAGATTGTACGTATATACAATCTGCTGTTCTTTCTGGCATCCCCAATGAAGTCCACTATCTCCTGCATGCAGAAAAGACTAGGCTTGATCCTCTCATCTAAATGCTCAACTGCCACCTCTTTCTTTAGAAGAACCATCTTCCAAAACAGCTGTTTTTTTTCCATACGTGTGTGAATGTGATCAGTATAGTTAGCCACTTGAATGCACCTGGAGTCTTCACTTCAGAGGGGTGCCCAGTGGTGCGATGGTTGACTGCAAGGATCCGGAAAGCATAGGCCACTGCAGGATCCAGACCACCCAGTTTTCGGCCACGGACATCAGGGTCAATGTTGTTGGCCACTGTTTCCCAGCTGCTGGCCACCTGCTTTGGGCCGGTCTTTTTTGCTTCTCTCCTTTGGACTATAAAGCCAGTCAGGTTTCCTGAGCCTCGAGTTTCCCATTCCAGTTCCACCTCTGTACGGGGACGAGTGTACATCAGCCTGCTGATTGTCACATTGGGTGGGTTGGGATATTCTGCAAAGAAAAGAAAAGACGTATAATTGTTGCTGGTGAACGAATCATCATTCTTAGAAGACCCTCCCTCTTCCACGGGGCATGCTTAGTTTGGGAAGCAAGGGCATAACAGAGAAAAACAAATGCCAGGATCCCCCTCTCTACCACATGGCAATGAAGTACAGTCATCGGCAGAAATAACTGTAGAAAAAAAATCGAAATCTTAAGAATTCGTCATAAAAGCAGGATCCTCCTTTGCAGGGGAAGAAAACTTGGAGCAATTGGAGGACAAGTGTGGACACGGTATTCCCACTTCATGGATTTGTGCTTCCTGGGTTTGGGAGGTCTAGAGGAGTTTTGTGGTACACATCAAGAAGCAATGGATGGAAACTAATCAAGGAGAGAAGCAACCTAGAACTAAGGAGAAATGTCCTAAGAGAACAATTAATCAATGGAAAGACCTGCCTCCAGAAGTTGTGGTTGCTCCAACACTGGAAGTTTCTAAGAAGAGATTAGACAACCATTTGTCTAAAATAGTATAGTATGAAATGAGCAGAGGATTGGACTAAGTCCCTTCCAACTCTGTCATTCTGTTATTCAACTTACTTTTTACCTGGAGGCTGATGGTGGCAGAGGCATTGCCCACAGCGTTGATGGCAGCACATCGGTAGGTGCCACTGTCCCGTATCCATTCTGTGTCCTGGAGAGTCAAATTAAACCAAGCATTCTCCTGCTGCAGGTGGTATTTCCTAGCGCTTGCTGTAATGGGCTGGTTCTTATTATTGTACCAGAAGACTTCAGAGACCAAATAGGCACCTTGGAGGAAGCAGGCCAACTGGACCTCGCTGCCTTCAAACAACGACACCTGGGACCATTGCACCATAATCCTGGGGGGTTCTGTGCATAAAACAAAGCAGAATAAAAGAAACTCTCAAAACCATCAGCTTTAAGGAGAGTGCTAACCAGGTTATGACCTTTCTCTTCACCCCACGAAGCAGGGGTGAAATGCTCCCGGTTTGGACCAGATCAGGCGATCCGGTAGTGATGGAGGCGGATAGTTTGGAGAACCGGTAGCAAAAATCCCTGCCCCCCCCCCCGCCCATGCCCACCCAATCGCCCGGTCTCCACTTGCCCACTTCGTAGCTTGCTGCTTCTTTCGGGCTTGCTAACTTTCCCTGCCTTGCTTTGGCTGCTGTAATCCATTGCATCAGCTAGCAACTTAATCTGCCTGCCTTGTGCCTTCAATTTGGTAAGCAACTGGGAGCTTTAAAAAAAATAGTTAATTGGGGTTTTTTTTAGGAGTTTTATTTTTTTTAAACAGCAATTTAAAGTTAAGGAAGTTTTAAATTTAGCTGCTTTTATCTAAAAATATAAATAAAATAAAATAAAATAAAATAAAATAAAATAAAATAAATAAAATAAAATAAAATAAAATAAAATAATAAAATAATAAAATAAAATAAAATAAAATAAAATAAATAATATAATATAATATAATATAATATAATATAATATAATAAAATAAAATAATAAAATAAAATAATAAAATAAAATAATAAAATAAAATAAAATAAAATAAAATAAAATAAATAAAATATTTGTGCAGCTTTCTGAGATTTGGTGTGTTTCTATAGTGCTTCACTCTAACTACACAAACACACAAAATCTCACAAAGCTGTATGTGCCATTTTGTGTGGAAAAAGTGTGAAAGTTGGTTTTTGAGTTTTTTGTGGCTGGGTCAGGTTCCTGCTTGTTGCAGGAGCCATTTTGGGTGAAGTGCAGCTGCTTTTACATTGTGTGTGAGTCAATTGTGTTGTGTGTGTAAAGTGTGAAAGTTGGTTTTTGGTACCTCTTATTGTTTTGTATACTTTGTTATTATTTTTATTAGTTATTATTATTGACCATGCCCACCCAGTCACCTGACCACCAAGCCATGCCCAGGGGTGTCACCTGACCACCAAGCCACACCCACCAATTAAGCCATGCCCACAGAACCAGTAGGGAAAATTTTTAGATTTCACCCCTGCCATGAAGGCTCTGAGTCTTCAACATCCAGATGGAAGCTTTGCCTGAAGCACATCTACCTTTCCAACAGGAAACAAAAAAATAAATAAACTGAGATGTAAACGGCATTTCAGGCAGGCTGGTCTAAAGAAAGAAGTTGGGAACAACCTCATACATTAACCATACATTAACATGCTAGTAAAAGAGCAGCATTGCCCACAGTGGCAGCCATATTGCAAAAGCAGTTCTGCATGTTCTCAAAATGTCTGATCAGCCCCAAAAGTTTAATTGTTCTGGATTTGTTCTGCTTTTGCAACAGTCCTCTAAATCCTCAGGAACAGGCTTCTCCACTGTTGCCTTCCTGACCTTGTAAAATTGGAGGATATCTTGGATTGAGCCCAAGAGATAAGGTGGCTCTTCCTTCTTGACTTAGGAAGGCCAACTATAGCACCAGAGGACAATTCCATTACATGATTTGGTTGTAACTGAATAAAGAGGCAAGGAGGAAGGGATCAGCTTGGGACAGGTAAATCTGATGGAACAGTGTCTTTCACACTCTGATGAGCCAGTCAATCCTCCCTTGACCCTATTATTTTTTCTTGACCCATATTTATCTGCTTACCCAGCCGGATGTGGCACTCAGCAGTTCTTGCCCACAGAGGATGAGCTGCCATGCAGGTGAAGGTCTTGCCTCCAAGAGTGGCGTTGGGCTTCATGACAAAAACATTGTATGATGGTTTCATGCTTCCCAGCACATGATGCCTCCAGTCTCTCCACCAGAGTGTCACCTGAGGTTCTCCACCTGGCCAGTCACAGGTCAACATGAGGAATTCATTCAATTTGGTTGCTACCACACTGCAGGCCAGGCTCCCTTTTGGAACCCCTGAAATAAATTGGTCAGATTTCAGAGGCGACTTGCTTTTGCGTACTTCCTAGGATTCCTAATAATCATGATTATTAGTTGGATAAGAGCTAATTAACAAGCTAATTTTCATAGATAAGAGCTAATTAACAAGCCCCATAAATTATCATAAAGATGAGTTCATCAAATTATTATAATTTATGATAGTGAGTCAGATAATTAGGGCTTTTGATTATAAATTATGCTAGTAAAGTAAAAATAATATAAATGAATAAATATAATGAAATTATTATTATTATTATTATTATTATTATTATTATTATTATTATTATTATTTATTAAATTTGTATACCGCCCTTCTCCTTTCGGACTCAGGGCGGTGAACAGCCAAAATAAAAATATTTGTACAAAAGTTAAAATAATTATTTAAAACTAATTAAATAGAATTTGGCCCATAATTTAAAACATATCAATTAAAATCAATATCAAACGTTAAAACCAACATGGAATCAGGCCAGCCCAGCTAGCTGAAAAAACTAAGTTTTTAGGGCCCGACGAAAAGTCCGGAGGTCTGAGATCACTTGTATCTCTGGAAGTAGATCGTTCCAGAGGGTAGGTGCCACAACAGAGAAGGCTCTCCCCCTGGGGGTCGCCAGCCGACATTGTCTGGCTGACGGCACCCTGAGAAGGCCCTCTCTGTGGGAGCGAACCGGCCGGTGGGAGGCAATTGGTGGGAGGCAAATGACTTGATTTACAGGAATTATGACTTTCTTTAAGGATTTAACTCTAAAGAGCCCCTCCTTGTGAGAGATGGGCATTCAGAAACGTGAAATAAAGGAAGGAAGGAAGGAAGGAAGGAAGGAAGGAAGGAAGGAAGGAAGGAAGGAAGGAAGGAAGGAAGGAAGGAAAATCTGGGCCTGAATATTGAAGTGTCTTCCACCAATTTGTATAAGGGGCTTATAACCATCCTAATTGCACAGGGTTCTATGTCCCCATAGTTGCATTTCATTAAAAGAAAAGAAAGAGAAGTTTATTTAATCATGAATTGTTGCTGTAGCATAATTAGTATTTTAGCATCAACTTTTGGGAGCCTCAACATCTGTCTCTAGAATAGCAAAAGGCTGGTACTCACAGACAGTGGTCCTGCAAATGGCATCCTTTCTCAGTGCTGGATGGGAAGCCAGGCAGATATAGGAAGTCCCATTGGAAATGTCCGCACCCTGATGGATTTGAATAGCTCTGGAGAAGCTTCCCATGTCAGTTTCTTCTGCCCTCGATTTTACCCACCGCAACTGCACTGAAGGGAATCCCCCTGGCCATAAACAATGTAGAGCAAGGTCTTGGAAATTGGAGGCAGGCAGCGACATGCATTTGAGCTGTCCCTTGGGCAGATCTGTGCATAGGGTAAACATCATATCAACAGCAACAATGGGTCCAGAAACATCCATGGAGGAAAACATTATCCAAAGGGTGATGGTGACGAAGAGCAGGGTCCCATCCCTGCTGCTTTGGGATTAAGCTTGTTTGACCCACAAGATGTTTGTGTCTATCTTCTCCATGCCCACCCAAAACATTGCTCTTGCAAGCCAACTTCTACCCAAAGTTGACCAACAGTTTATGCATTTCCCTCTCAGAATCTCATGACTTCTTGGCCAGGAGCAGGAGATATAGCAAATACTTGCCTATTCTTTGCATTAGCATACTAGGGAAAGCTTTGATGGCAGAACTGGTCTGAAAAATGGCTAGAAGAAGCGGAGAACCTTTGCTGTGAAAAAAAAAGTTGACAACTGCCTGCTTGCAGATGTACCTTGGTGGGAAAGGAAACTGGGGGAAAGGGACTACTGCCCTCACTCCTTACATTTTTCCACTGGTAGTTGCACTACTAAACCATGGAGCTGAGAGTCAAATGGGCAAACTCATAATTTATGGCTTCCTATTTTGACAACCTCATATTTTTCTTAAGCTTTGAATTTCTTTGGTTTTCCATCTCTGCAAATCCCCTTATTCACCTTAACTTGTTTCTTGGGTAAGAATGAAGTCATTGGTGCAATAGCATTACATGAATGCATTATAAAGTTGTAAGATCTGGGTGCTGGGTCAATATCTTCAATGAAATAATATTCTATGTAAATGCTAGCCCTGATCTCAGGGCTAAGATTGTTTCCTATTTATTTGTGCATTTATTTATTTTGTAAAGAAACATTAGGAAAATGAGCTTCTCCCACACCCCACAGCTCAAATTCTTTATGATACCATCCACCTAAAACTGCATCACATGAAGATGATGGTACAGAAGTTGGGTGGCTCTACATTATTTCAGGGAATCTAAGAATCTTGCAGGTTGGTCTTTGAGGTGTTGCTTGTTTTGAAATTTCCTAGGTTACTTTGGTCAATGTTGTTATCAAACATATATTTCAATGGTCCACAGACAACAAACATCACAACAAAGAGGCTGCTTTGGTCTACCTGCAAAACACCTGGCTGCTTTCTGCTGCAGGACACAAAAGCAACATTGGCCAATGATTACTTTCCTGTAGTATTAATACTTTTAGCAAATTGGCCTCCTTCTCTGTGATTATTTCATACAGAAATCCATGGATTCTTTCACTTTTATTTCTCTTTTGCAAAAAAAAAAAGAGAGAGAGAGAGAATTTGAAGAATTTCACCAGAAAGAACAGACTCTGTTGACACAAGACATAAGAGACTTGGCCACATGAAAAGTGCAATAATCAGGGTACAGAACAAGAACTGTCCATCATTCTCTCAGAAGGGAAATTAAAATGTTACTACAGAAACACCAGCATTGGAAACTGGTAGAAGAGACAATCACCACCTTCTTTTAGCACTGATATTTTACACCCAAATTATGTTGACATTTTTATTTTGGCATCTTTTCAGTTGTGCCAGCTGTGCATGATAATATTTGAAAAAGTGATTTTTTTAAAAAATCTAGAAGATAGAGAGATAGGAAACAACAGAACATGCTAAAACCTCATGCCTGGGAAAATAGGTAAAGGTAACTTACAATAGACAGTCAAGATAATAGTGGCCTGGGTCCGAGTATTCAGGTGCATATTCTGAGCAAGGCAAGTATAGATGCCTGTTTGAGTCCGTGAGATTCTGGCAATCACATACTTCTGTCCGGAATAGACTTGAGAGCTGTTGTAGAACCAAATGTAGTGGCTGGGAGGATTGGAAGGAGCTAGGCATGTCATAATCACCTCTTCTTGTTCATTGGCTGAGAAGCCATGTTGGTTAATTGCAAATGGCTCTATGCTGATCACTGGCTCATCTGGACCATCTATGGAAGATTCAATTAGTTAATAGAATGCAAGCTGAAGAAGGCCCTTCTGTTGATGAGATGCTGAACATCTAAAGATAGGTCTCCCCAGTCTTGTATGCTTCTGGTGTGCACTAGAATTCCTATTCAACCAAGTCAATACATCAGAAGTAGACCAGATAGGAAAATCTGACCTAATTTGCTTCACTAGGAATTATCTATTTTATTTCATAGTCTACACCTGGCAAGATTAAGATTTGATTGGCAGCACACAAAGTTTCCCAAAAATAGAAAAATTGGCCCGATTGACCAATTGCTTACAGATAACGTCAAGGTACATCCCATCGCTGGTTTGGCTGTTGACCTCATTGTGGGCTGTGCAGGTGTACCAACCCATGTATGTCCGGTTTGCTGAGGTCAGGTTTAAGAAATCCATCCCTGCTTCAGCAAGAACTACCATGCCATCTCGGTTAGTGTAGCGCTGCCAAGTATAAGCGATAGGAGGTGTCCCTTCTTTCACTGTGCAGATCATCACAACCGGCATGCCTTCCACGGGTGTTGAATTGTTTATCTGCAGAAAGGGCTTGGGAACTGGGACTGGGGAGGCCAAATGAAAAGTTAACGAATTAAGAAGAGCGAGACATCCTTACATCAAGAAACATGAATGACCTGAACCAGTCATACCTACAAAAAATCCATTTCTGGTACACATTGTTCTTTCAGATTAGGGATTTGATTTAAATCACCCATAGAACTAACCAAAGATTCAAAATGCAAGCTAAAACAGAAACACAGGCAATTCGTTTTGAAAATGGAGATAAAAATGAAACCAGAACTTTTTCTCTTAGGTTTAATGGAAAAAGAATGGGGGGTGGGATTTGAACTTTGTTATTATATATGTTGCATCTGCAAGACTATTGTATGCACAAAAATGAAAGGACACTTGAATCCCTACCATGGACAAATGGTTGATGGAGTTGGCGAAAATGGCAAAATCGATCACTTTGATTAAAGAAAAGACCATAATTACTTTTGTTTCCACATGGAGACCGCTTCTGAACTTCGTGCTTGATGTGGAAAAGAATGAAACTCTGACTTTGGGTTTTACCGATTAGACTATCTAGACTATCTTTATAGAAATGGCTTGTTCCTATTATTATGAAAAAGCAAAAAGTGGTGATTTGATGTTAATGTCTTATTTTACCATAACAGAGAGAGTCAGAAATCAATGCTTCTTTTTCTTTTCTCTTTTCCTATCTTTCCTCACTTCACTTCCCCCTTTCCCCTCCCCACTCACTGTTCTTATATTTACTTTTGTATTTTGTATTTTATAATACTTTATAACTCAATAAAAATGTTGACTAGGACTGGGGGAAAAAAAGAATCACAGGCAATTCAACTATTGGCCTAAAAGTTCATATTCATCATATATAAACATAAATTTAGTTTTTATCATTGCCCTGGCTATTACTTAGAGCAGTGTTCCTCAGCCTTGGCACATTTAATCAGGATGGACTACAACTCCCAGAATCCCCTAGTCGGTATGCTGGCTGGGGAATTCTGGGCGTTGACGTCCACACATCTTAAAGTTGCTCAGAAAGGCTGAGAAACAATGACTTAAAGCATGTGCACCTTTAACTATGGAAAAAACAATGCATGTTTCTGGTTTGCTTCTAGGGTTAAACAAACCAATTTCTTTACGTGGGGAAGAAAAAGAGCTGGACAAGAATTCTGAAGCTAAATTCAGCGTAATTTAAATGATTTAAAGATTGAATACTTTTCTGCTGGGTGACTATTTTTTTTTTAAATCATGTGGATGCAGTGAAATTCTCGTTTGCTTAAGAACCTATTTTACTTAATCTCCCACCCTACAACAAGTGGGGAAAAGGATGTCAAAGACTTGGTAGCAAAAAGGTTACTTAATTCTGGTTTATATTGCAAATAGAATGGATTGACGTCCATGAGGACGTTAGGTTACACGTATATATTGAGCATCACTGGCCTGTTCAGACAAGAGGTAGGAATCACAGGCTTGGGTGGGTTTTTTTTTTCATAATGCAGTTTTTTTTAGCATCTGAACATGGCAACAGAGGAGTTCTTTGCCTCCCTCCCTCTGCTGAAAACGCCAGGCTAACTGCCCAAGGAAAAATAACAAATCAAGTTGTCTTGTGATCAAAGGCAAAGATGAACCTTTGCTAGAGATGAATGACATACCTGGGAGAGAGTATCCTCCATCAGCCAAAGAACTTTAATAACTTGCATTTGACCAACCTTATCAAGGGCAAGAACAGCTGGCCAGGGACCATCAACTATTTACAACATTTACAACATTTGACCTACACCAAATGTCAGGTTAAGATGAAAGGAAACTGAGATAGGGTTTCTCTAATAGACCTTTTTGGAATTCATTGTTGGAATGTATTTTTATGCAACAACTACAATAGTATTCAGCCAGTAGATGGCAGTATGGTATATATTCTTTGCTCTTTTGTTCTAAGTAGAATTTCCTGTTTCATGTTACAGTTAAAAACAGTTAAGCAGTAAAGCACATGGTGACTGTACCATTTGTTCCCTGGTGCTATATATAAGCAGAATTTCTAACAGACCTTCTCCCCTTAACTGGTAGACTTCAAAAAGGAACATTGATTTCTTAGGGGAGGTGATTCTCCTGCTATTTTGCTGCACTGTTTTATTTTGAAAGGCCACCACATGTTGACATGCCCCATGTGGAGTTTTGTGCACATCTTTGTCCATTCAAAACATGACAAGCCCTACTGTTGTTAGCTCTGGGGATCACCAGATGGATTCCTGCATCATCAACTGACCTGATTGCACAATGACTCAGCCAAAGAGTATGAGCTCCAGAATAAAGAGCTGGAGGCTGCTATAAAACCATCAGCAGCCATTTTTTGGGGAACTTGCAAATCCAAATCTCTTGCATTGAGGAGCCAACTCAAAGCTGCATGAGTTTTCCATGTAAAAAGTAATATGGAGTCATTTTTTTGTATGCATGTTTAAAAATCATTGTTCAAATGGAAATGGAACAGAATGGATTTATCAATGGACACATGAAATGTCCACAGCAAGCCAAGACACTATCAACAAAAACAAAAATGCACATTACAATAACATAATGCACATTCCAGTGCTTACCTAATATATTTGTGATACAAGTACAAAAAGGGGTAGAGTTTGCATCACAACATGTTTCATAATTGGCATCCTTGAATTATGGGGCAGAAAATACAAGGATTCTGATTTGCTATGAGTATCTTGGGACCATAGAGACTAAATTGGATCAGTTTGTGCAAGGAGAGAGATTTTATTCCTGCATCATCAGCTGACCTGATTACAGAATGACTGTTCTTTTTAGGAGTGTTAGGGCAAGGGCGGGTTCCAAATCCCGTTGCTACCGGTGCACATATGTGCGTGCGCGGGGTGCTTCTGCGCATGTGCAGAAGCGTCCGGGTGGGTGGGCGGAGCCTCCCACCACCGCCACTTCCGGTTCACCCGATCCGGTGAGAACTGGTAGCAACCCATCACTGTGTTAGAGGTGATGGGAAGAGACATTGTTTCTTGCTAGTAAGGGAAGAAACATGGAGGGGATTAAGTGTTTATAGCCCATTTTGTACAATTTCCTCATTAGGCTTGCCAATCATAAGGACCAAAACTAGTGAATTTCATTCTGCTTTTGTAAAAGGTGAGCTTTCTTTCTTTCTCTTTCTTTCTTTCTTTCTTTCTTTCTTTCTTTCTTTCTTTCTTTCCTTCCTTCCTTCCTTCCTTCCTTCCTTCCTTCCTCCCCCCCCTCTCTCTTTCTTTCCACCCATCTCATCTAGAAGCAACTTTCCTTTTAGCAAGGAAAGGGTTAGTTAGAATGGAGGGCCTTTATTTAGAAGCAGGAATAGTTCCTTTGAGTCTGACAGGATTATGGGGAGACAAAGAAATTGAACCTGGTCCCTCTTCATGTTTGCAAGATCAGAAGAAAAGTCCTAGAAATCAACTCTGATCTCATCTTTGAGGAAACATCCCATTTCCTCAGAAGCTGTGACTTACCCAAGACAAGAAGCTCAATGTAGAAATAAGCCACTTTGATCTCTCCATCCACTTCGTACATGGCTTGGCACATGAAATGTCCCTCAGCAGCTTGTTGCAGTTTCTTAATCTCTAAGGTACTGTTCCTCAAACTGATCTCCCCCAGAACGGCAGAGGCCTTCTCCACCTTGGACTCAAGGCCATTGCTGATGGCCACAGCTCTGGGAATGAGGGAGCCAGGTTTGGTGAAACTCCAGAAGACAACCAGAGGTTGCACTATGTTACCACATGCCAGCCTCACTGAGCGGTTATGCACCCCTTTGGCCACTTGCTCATCATATTCTGCATCTTCCAAAGGGAGCAGCTGACCTGGGGGAAGGAAGAATGACTGAATGAATGAATGAATGAATGAATGAATGAATGAATCATTCAACTGATCAATCAGTGCTGAGCTTTCAGGCCTCTCCAATGACTCATAACCCATTTTTTTTTTTAATGAATAAACGTCAGTTTAGGACTTTTCTCTCATTCAGTTTAGGAAGATAGGAGCTTCATAGAATCAATATACTACTAAAGACCAATTTCTTGAGAAGGCAAACAGAGCAACAAGATTGCTTTTATTATTCATTTCTAAGCCACTTCTAAGAGGGAAAACCCCTTCAAGTATGCCGGTAAACAGAGGTTTCCCAAAAATATTTGGCTTGTGGCTGTGGACCACAAGATATTAACCTTTGATCTGGTCCAGCATGTTGCTCCACATGTGTTCAATTCTCAGCCAGCCTTGCTTAGTTTAGCATCTCCATCTGATTGATCTGATAATCTTATGCACCTCTAATGAAACTTTCATATATTGATATTAGGTTTTATTTGACTGTTTTGTTCTTACTGTATAGAATGGAATGGAATGGAATGGAATGGAATGGAATGGAATGGAATGGAATGGAATAGAATAGAATAGAATAGAATAGAATAGAATAGAATAGAATAGAATAGAATAGAATTTTTATTGACCAAGTGTGATTGGACACACAAGGAATTTGTCTTAGTGCATATGTTCTCAGTGTACATAAAAGAAAAGATATATTCATCAAGAATCATAAGGTACAACACTTAATAATAGTCTTAGGGTACAAATAAACAATCAGGAAACAATATCAATATAAATTGTAAGGATACAAGCAACAAAGTTACAGTCATACAGTCATAAGTGGAAGGAGATGGGTGATGTTTCCAATGAGAAGATTAATAGTAGTGCAGACTTAGTGAAAAGTTTGACAGTGTTGAGGTGAGGTGACAGTGTTTAGCAGAGTGATGGTGTTCGGGAAAAAACTGTTCTTGTGTCTAGTTGTTCTGGTGTGCAGTGCTCTATAGCATCGTTTTGAGGGTAGAAATTGAAACAGTTTATGTCCAGGATGTGAGGGGTCTGTAAATATTTTCACAGACCTCTTTTTGACTCATGCAGTATACAAGTCCTTAATGGAAGGCAGGTTGGTAGCAATAGTTAGCTTTTATTTGGATATGATTGGTTTTCATCCAGAGATCAGAATTCTAAAGAGTGAAGCATGATTTGAACATACTGAGCAATGAAGAAGAAATGAATAAATATGGGTATGTGACAGAGTAGGTGGAAACCTGGAGAAGCTGCTATTAGAAGGTTATATTTTCTCATATTGAGGTTCTAATCATTCTTCTGGAACCTTTCCAACTGTTGATCTTAAAGCACCACCTGTTAGGAATGGAGCACTCATAGCAGCTAACATTTGGCTGTTTTAGGCAAAAGAAAAGATGGCACGCACAAATCCTGCTCCATTGCAGCTGCTACCAATTCATTTGAAAACAAATTTGGTCATTCTGTTTTCACAGGGTTTTTCAGAGATGTGAATGCCAGCATTAAAGTTCTCCTGTATTGTTTGTTCCTTCAGAAAATTGCAAAGAAAGAAACAAAAGAAGTCTAAAGAAATTAACAGCATCTCAAATAAATAAATAAATAAATAAATAAATAAATAAATAAATAAATAAATTGCAGACAATAGGCTGTCTCCAAAAAGAATGGCTCTATTAGGAAAATTCATATTAAAAAAAAACCAAACACTAAAACATATATTTACCCTGTTTCCCCCAAAATAACAAAACTGTTATTAACATCAGCTGCCTGCAATTACTGCAAGTTCAAATCTCACCAGGCTCAAGGTTGACTCAGCCTTCCATCCTTTCTAAGGTAGGTAAAATGAGGACCCAGTTTGTGGGGGCAATAAGCTGACTTTGTATAAAATATACAAAAGTATAAAAGGCTATTGCTTAACGCATTGTAAGCCACCCTGAGTCTCTGGAGAAGGGCAGCATATAAATCAAATAATAAAAATAAAGACATCCCCTGATAATAAGCCCAATTGGGTTTTTGAGCTCATGGTAATAAGGCTAAATGCTTATTTCAGGGTTCAAAAAATATAAGACAGGGTCTTATTTTCGGGGAAACACGGTATGTATTGATGAATGCAAGCTAGGTCGTTTGCATTTTAAACAAAGTTTAAGGAAATTTACATTTACAGCCACATAAATTAGGGGAAGAGGCATAGAAAGCATCCAGGGCCATTTATTTGGTGAAATGGGCGACTCTACAGTTTTGATAAATAAATAACTATAATAGTTACACAATAACTACAAATATAAATTTTTAAAATTCTACAAGTCTTTCTACAAGGCACACATACACACCAGATTAGACTACTGAGCTACAACTGTGTACCCTGGGCTGAATCTCAACTTTTGCGATAGTGTCAACTCCTCCATCGAGATCACCACCAGTTTGTCGCACTCACCAACAAGAGAAGAATTCAAAAAATACAAGCAGGAGGCAGCCATCACTGTATCTGTAAAATTGAGATTCAGCCCAAGGTACACAGTCTTCCATCTAAGCCTTAGTGTAGGCTGAGCCTCTAAATATTCCACCACTGGGACTCGCAAGCAAAAAAGAAATATATGCTGCTTATTTCATAGGTAGACATACATATTTTTGCATTGCAGCTGGCCTGGTAAGATTGCTAACAGGTTACTCACCATAAACTACTGCTGGGAGGATATAAAGGATTTTCAGCAAGCTGTTAAATTGTAGATCCTTTGCCAATCCATAATCCATTGCTCCATGTCACTGCACAGGACAAAACCCAGAAGACAGATCCTATGAGCTCCTTCAGAGTTCACATCTCCCCAGCTTCCAGGCAAGCCATGGACTTCTTCCACTTCCTGTTTCTTCTGCGGACTTACTAACCTCTGTGACTAGGGGACAGGTCTCTCTGTCTCTTCTTTCAGTCTCTCAAAGATAAAAAATGCAGCCCTCATTAGGCTCAGATTACCCAACCCCCAATCATCCCCGATTAATGTTCAATTATTCATTTATTCTTACTTAATCTCCTTTCCTTGATCTATTATGCAGGAGCTTCTTTAGAGAAACAATGGAAATACAAGTCAAGTTCCTTTGGTTTGAGCACCTTGAAGTCGTGGTTTCATGCTAGTGGAAGATAAGGACGGAAAGCATTAAATTTTCCATAGGAAAGTCTAAGCCATGTGCTTCTAGTTTGCAAACCTCTCGTGCAATTATATTTCTTCGGACAATTTTTTTGCAATGGCAGAAGAGTAAAGAGTGTTTTCTTGCTCATCTTTGAAGGCATACTCAATTGCAAAGTTAGTCTTACTCTTCCTGGGTTGAATGAAACCTTTTAAATGGCCAATATGTGCATATGGAACACACATTAAATACAAAAATATAGCCAATAGCCAAGCAAAATAAATAAAGTATCATTCAATGAAGACAACAGATATATGGAAGAATTCTTACGATTCTCACAGTTGCTAAATAATCTATATTCTTTGATGTAGAATAGAATAATAGAACAGAACAGAACAGAACAGAACAGAACAGAACAGAATAGAATAGAATAGAATTCTTTATTGGCCAAGTGTGATTGGACACACAAGGAATTTAATTTAATTTAATTTAATTAATTCAATTTATATGTGTTTGTATATGTTCTCAGTGTACATAAGGAGAATAAAATACATTCATCAAGAATAAAAAGATACAACACTTAGTGATAGTCAAGGTTACTAATAAGCTATCAAATGTACATCCTATACAAAAAATGTACATCCTAGTTTGAAATCTTCCCTCTTGCAAATTTTGTAAAAAGATTTCCTTTATTATCTGTTTTAATATCTTTCTAACTATCATTTTAGGCTCACTGGACAATAATTGCTTGGACCATGTTAGTTTTCTCCTCGTTGCGCTGAAAACATTATTTTCTGGAAATAGTGGAAACCTGGCAAACTTCAGCTAAGGCCCATATTGTAGAGAATGTTTATGTATATGGCATAGATATTTATGGTTATGAATACCAGAAGTTATATTGGAAATATACTCAACCTGTGGAATGAACTACCTCCTGGAATACGACTGATCCTGGACCTCCACGCTTTCCGAAAGGCCCTGAAGACTTATTTATTCCAACAAGCTGGCCTAGTTTAAATGGTTTTAATGGGGTTTTTAAATTTTTGATTTTATTGATTCTGGGTTTTAAATTGGGAACTTTTCGATTTTGCAGATCTGGGATTTTAAATTGGAAATGCCAATGATTTAATTTATTTTAGTTTTTTTCTTAACTTTTGTACTATATGTGTTTTAAGTTTGGCTGTCCACCGCCCTGAGTCCCCCTGGGGAGAAGGGCGGTATATAAGTTGAATAAATAAATAAATAAATAAATAAATAAATAAATAAATACGGACAGACGGATGGATGAACTGGTGGATGGATGGACCGATGGACAGACAGATGGACGGATTGAGAGACAGATAGATGAAAGGATGGATAGATAAACTGACAGATGGACAGACAGACTGATGGACAGGCAGACAGACTGATGGACAGAGGGACTATTCTTCTTGATAGTTTAGAACAGGGGTCTCCAACCTTGGCAACTTTAAGACTTTTGGACTTTAACTCCCAGAGTTCCTCAGCCAGCAGAGCCTGGTTTAAAACATGTACAGAATGAAAACCTCTGATGCAGAGAAACCATGACTAAGTTGCTCCAACAAACGGCACCTCAAACTACCCAAGGCCATTTTGCTAGGAGAAGAGCATTCTATTTTCCATCAAAACTAAAAAGTCATCCTTTATTTTGACCATGCAGGATTCCACACCTGGATTTTATAGGTGTAAAGGTTTTCCAAGTGAGACTGCCCAGTTGTTTGTTTGCCACTCTCTCAGGATTTCCAGTCACCCATCCCTGCCGTCTCCAAGAGCTCACAGCTTCCCAAACACAATGGCCGCTTCTCAGATACTCTCCCTCTTAGGCTTTAGAAAATAGATCCCTCAGCAAAGTGGTGCTCCTGTCTTTCCTAGTGAAAACAAAATGGGATGGAATGAAGCAGGGGTGGTATTTCACTTACCTTCACTACCAGTTCACAAATTTGAGTGCATGTGCCACCTCTGCGCATGCGCAAGACCTTCTGCTCATGCACAGAGTGTCAAAAATGAGATGTGATGACATCCGGGTGGGTGGGCGGAGCCTCCCGCAGCCGCTGCTACCGGTTTTCCCGAACCAGATAGAACCGTCTGAATCAGTGGTGGATTTCAAAAAAATTTTCACTACCGGTTCTGTGGGTGTGGCCTGGTGGGCATGGCATGGCATGGCTTTGTGGACATGGCTTGGTGGGCATGGCAGGGGAAGGTTACTGCAAAATCCCCATTTCCTCCTGATCAGCTGGGACTTGGGAGGCAGAGAATAGATGGGGGTGGGGCCAGTCAGAATTTTTACTACCAGTTCTCCGACCTACTCAAAATTTCCGCTACCAGTTCTCCAGAACTGGTCAGAACCTGCTGAAACCCACCTCTGGTCTGAATACCACCACTGCAATGAAGTCATTAGGGCCAAAAAAAACCCACCTTCCAACAAAAAGCAACCCAGAATCTAAATTGGGGGTGGGGGGAATAGGAGGGCAGAGAAAATCAAAAGAAAGGCCTCCTCCATTAATTGTGTATATTGCTGTTTACTGCGAGTGGCAAACAAATTCCAATGCCTCCACAAGTTCTTTCTTTCCAGTATGAAGGCACGTCAGTCCCCAAGGGACAGATACTATTACTACGTAGGGTACAGACCACACACAGCGAGAACAGAAAAACACACACTGGATTATCAGCTTTCTCCTCATTACATATTACACGCCCAGCCCTGACTGATTCTTCGGCTGCCGCTGTTCCCTCTCAGAGATCCCAAGTGAGAAGAAAATCATGACTTGGTCGAGTTGGAGGTTAGAGGCCTTTTAGGTCAGGAAACAGGTGGGGAGGAGTCATTGGTATTGATTTTGCCATGGTTAACCTTTGGTTGCATGGCCAAATGGAGGGGAAAAGACCCAAATAGCTCAATTTTAAAGCAAAGTTGACTTCCTGCTACGATGCCACAGTTCATGAAGATTTCAAATCCGGATTGATTCTGTTTATTGAGTAGCATGAGGATTTTGTCCATATGCAAGTAATAAACATGATCTATTTAAGACAGATGGACTTCAAAGAAGCAGAATAGGAAGAGTATTGCTATTTTTGAACTTTGGTATGGGAGAAAACTCTTGAGAAGCCATGAAAACAATCCAATGGAACATTCAACAAGTCAACCCAGAGTTCTCATTCAAGAGAACAAATGACCAGATTCAAATTATCCTACTTCAGGCACATCATGCAAAGACCCACCTCTGATGTTAGGAAGGTAGAAGGAAAGAGAAGACCATGACCAGAAGCAAAGTGGATGGACTCAGTTACACCAGAGATAGGTGAACCAATGTAACGGACTGTGAGAATAACTTTGAGCAACAGGAGGACGAGACTCACCCAAGATAATGGTCAGATAACAGAAATTTGAGTCCAAACTAGAAATGTAATTTGAAACTCAGACTAGAATTTCCTTAATTCTTGTTATATACAGTAAAAGCAGGTTAGATTTGCAAGATTCTGTTACTCTAATCCTTTAATTAAAAAAGCATAAATATTCCTAAATTTGGTTTCTAATCTGATTTACCTGAAAGTGCTTGCAGGCCTGAAGGACCAGATTAGGGAGGGAGGGAGGGAGAGAGGGAGGGAGAGAGAGAGAGAGAGAGAGGATAGACAGACAGACAGACAGACAGACAGACAGACAGACAGACAGACAGACAGACAGACAGATGATAGAATTCTTTATTGGCCAAGTGTGATTGGACATACAAGGAATTTGCCTTTGGTGCATATTCTCTCAGTGTACATAAAAAGAGAAGATACATTCCTCAAGAATCATAAGGTACACTACTTAATGATAGTCACTGAGTACAAATAAGCAATCTAATCCTACTAGGAAATGATCAATATAAATTGTAAGGATACAGCAACAAGTTACAGTCATACAGTCGTAATCATCACACAGAGAAAATCTGAAAGAGTTGGCATTGACTTGATGACAACATAATCAGTCAATTTAAAATGGGTGAGTTTATTATTAGGGTTAGGGTTATAATTATTTAATATAAATATAATCTGACAGATGGGATGTAGCTCACAAAAGCACATTTAGTGGAGTTCCCTATATATAAGATTAAAAGAATTACGCAATCATATTTCTGGGGGTGGGGGAAGAAGCCCAGCCTTTTTGAAACAACTGGTGGCACTATTGGTCCTTCTCTTTGATGGCAAGGAGTTGCAAAACTCAATTGTCTTAAGACCAGAGTCATCTGCTGCAAGGCACTTTTTCCACAATGTCTTTCCAGCCAGGTTATAAGAGAGAAAGTTGTAATAATTAGGAAAATGGTCTTGGATCAAACAATGAGAGCATATGCTCTTCTAATGCTTCTCTTGACCCACTGATTAATGAGTATGACTATATCTTATCATTTAAAAACAGTTATTTTTAGCAGAACCCACTCTGTGCTCGGATGGAATATAAACATCAATTCAAGGAACAGAGGAGAAACATTTCCAGCAATGTTATTACTCTCCTTTTTGTTCTAAAACCAAAAGAAACATCTACAAAGTTACTTAAGGATTGATGTGTTGACCCCATACTCTTTATTAATGTGCCAACTGATTTAGACATCAACTGACCATGTATGGTGGTTTTTCCT